AGAATGAACTTTCACCTGATTTGTGCCCAGGGAGTATGTTTCAGTGTACAGCTCACAGTATCTATATCTGGTATGTTAATGTGTGCTTATTTTTGTTTCTGAATGTGTATTGCATCAATGGATCTTAGATTTGCATGTTTTTAAATGTTTTTGTTTGGGCATATTATTGGGATTATTATTTCAAATTGTACTTTCTGTGTTTATCTCTGTTGAATTTAGTGGTTAAGATCAAAAGTATCAATCTAGATTTAAAATGTGGCTCCAATCATCTTATGCAGCTGTGTTATTTTATATAAGGCACTTATCTTTTCTGAGCCTCAATTCCTCATCTTCAAAATAGTACTTCTTAGTAATATTACTTTGTAAGATTATTGTGAGGATAAAATGGAATAATACATGTACAGTGACTGGCCTGTAGTGAGTATTTGATAAACAGTTATTATTCCTATATAATCAATTTGTGTTTCTCTGGAAGAACAATGGCATTTCCTATTTCTGCCTTTTATTCTTACACTTAATTATATACTGCACCACACTGTTTTTTACTCTTATATAATCATTTATTGGCTTATTAAGCAATCACTGTTCCTTATGGGCAGGAAATTAGATTTTCATGCAAATATGTCTAGTGCTGTGCATAGTGCCAGGTACATAGCATACATTTGGGGTGAAAAAAGCTCAATATATACCACGTAAACATACATAGGCAGAACATTATGATGAATTTTAAGAGCTTGTGTTCAGACTGCTCTTAATGTACAACAATTTGTGATATTGAGATTAGTGCCCCAATGTAAGTCAACATGAGCAATCTTATTGCCTTACATTCAAGAAAGTCAGGCCAGGGATTTTTCACTTACAAGAAAGAAGTAGTTTGCATATATACATAAATATTTTTTGTTTTTGTTAAAGGCATTAGAATGTTGCTTAAACAATAGTACTACTGATGCCAAGATTCCTGAGAGCAAAGGTGAACTAAGAGTCTGCAGCTGTTTTTTTTTTCTAGAGGCATTTGTGTATTCTGAGCACAGAACAAAATGTTGAAAATCTATGTTTTATTCAACCACAGGTCCACTGCTGGAAGACACAGAAGCTAGCAGGGTTTTGGCAGACTCACTATGTTAGAAGTACAAAATTAAAAATCTGAGAGACCAAAATCCAGTGAGACATGATGGGTACAAAAACTGAGCTGACTGCTTCCTCAAGACACTTGCAGAATGTCTGAAAAGGTGCAGGGTGAAGGGACAAAGAGCTAAGGAGAAAGTTTCTGAAAAACAGAAGGGACTTTCTGTTTTACCTGAGAAGGTAAGAATTATATGTAGCACCTATAAGAGGGAAAAGGCCTACAATCATACCAACTGAATTAAAACCAAAAGGGCCGAAATTAAGAACTTATTAGCTTAACTTTTTTATTTTTGAACATTTATATTTAGAGAAAAGCTGCAAAGATAAAGAGTTCCTATACACAGGAACTTCACCTGCTTCCACGTTCTCTTAATGTTAACACCTTATATAACCATGGTACATTTTGCAAAGCTAAGAAATTAACATTGCTGCAGTAATTATCTAAACTGCAGACTTTATTTTGATTGCACCAGTATTTTCAATAATGTACTTTTCTGTTCCAGGACCCAACATGGGGTGCTATCTTACATTTAGCCATCATTTCTCTTTAGTCTTCTCCAATCTGTGATAAGTTTCTGCCTTTACTTGTTTCTTATGACCTTGACAGTTTGGAAGAGTACTGGTCAAGTATTTTACAGGAAGGTCCTCAATTTTGTTTTGTCTGATGTTTTCTCATGTTTAGACTAAGGTTATGGGTTTTGGGGAATAATATCATAGAAAAGTGTCCTTCACATCACCTGATATCAAAGGATACATGATATCAACTTGAGTTACCATTAGTGATGTTAACCTTGATCCTTTGTTAAGATGGTGTCTACAAGATTTCTCCAAATTTTACAATTTCTCCTTTCCATGCTTAGTTAATTAGAAGAAAAATCACAAAGTCTAGCTCACACTCGAGGGAAAAGTAAGCAAGCCACCTCCTGGAGGGGACAATATTTAGAATTGTTACTTAGAATTCTACTATAAGGAAGATATGTCCATTCTCATCTTTAGTCATTCATTGTTTCACTTAAGTATGAATTAATGCATATTTATTTTATTCTTTGGGTTATAATCCAAATATTGCTATCTATTTTGTTTTGCTCAAATAATTCCAGCAACTGTCACTGGGGGCTCACTCAGGTTGGCTCCTGCATTCTTTTGATATTAGCCTTTTATCTTTACTCCCCTTTTTTGGGCATTCCTTACTTTCTACCTACAAGATGTTCCATCCTAATCTTGTGTTTTCCCTGCCTCAGACCCAAAACCAGATATGTTCCAAAGAGTCCTGTTAGCTTTTACTGAAAACAGGCATTTAGAAACCAAGATCTGGAAGCTGAATGTGCTCACTGCTGTTGGGTTGTCACTATACCTAAGGCCTTTCAGAGGACAAAGCTAGGAAAAATGTGTATATATTAACCCACACTCATATCTGTATTTCTGAATCAATCTATTTGCATATATAATAAAATAAAAATGAATTAAAATTGTTATTTTAAGCCCTAATTACTTTAATCCACAATCATAAGGTTCATTCCAGCCATTAAGAACCTTGTTTCTTTGTTACTTCTTTTCCTGACAATGAGGAACCTGGTTGTCTTTATCTACAGTTTATTTACTTATTTGTCCAATGGTCACATACATGCAAAGTATTTTCAGAATTGCTAATCTGTACTCTGTAAACTTCAGCTCTCAGGGCAATTCTGGCTCTTTGCCTATTTTGGTATGGTCTCACAGGTAAAAGTAGTTTTTACATTTTTAAAGGACTACAGAAAAAAGGAATAATATTTCATGAAAATCACATTTTAGTTCACATGGATAAAGTTTTACTGGAACACAGACATGCTCATATGGTCTATAACAGCTTTAGTGCTACAACAGCAGAACTGAGTAGTTGTGACAGGGATCCTATGGCACACACACAAAATATTTACTATCTGACTCTACAGAAAGTTTGCTGGTCCCTGAAAAAGAATATAGTGATTATGTAGTTCTTTTTGTCTTTAGCCTTACAGTATGCAGTCAAAATACCATATTCCAAAGCTATTTAAGTAAGCTAATTTAAATATATGTCTTACATTTTAGTAGTTAGATTTATTTATTATAATCTGTATTAAATCTTCAGAACCCCCAACATCATGCTTGATATTTTTTTCTTTTAATTTTCATACAGTAAAGTTCACTCTCTTTGATGTCTATTTCTAGGAGTTTTGGCAAATGCATCAAGTCATATTTCAACCACTCTAGTACTAATCAGTTTCATCACCCTAAAAATTCCACTGAGAGGCTGTACTCTTTGTAGTGAACCTTTGCTATTTCAATGTCATATAAATGAAATCATATAATCTGTAGCTTTGGTATTCTGGCTTCTTTCATTTAGCAAACTGAATTTAAGATTCATCATGTTGTTGCACAAACTAACAGCTCACATTCTTTGTTACTGTTGAGTTATAGTTCATTGAATGGTTGTACCATTATCTGTTCACCATTTGCCACTAAGAGTACCTTCAGTTGTTTACAGTTTTTGGTAATTATGAATAAACTCTATAAACATTCATGTATAGAATTTTTTGTGAGCCTATATTTTCAATTCACTTGGATAAATACCTAAGATAAGATTGCTGGGACATATGATAAGTGCAAACTGCCAAACTGTCTTCAAAAGTGATTGTACCACTGGGCATTCCCACCAGCACCGAGTAAGAATTCCTTGACAGCCATTATAACTATACTACTATCAGACAAAATACACTGTGAAGCAAGGAATATTATTGGAGATATAGACTTTCAAAAATAAAAGGTTCTTAACATAGTCTTACATCTGTATCAAACCAATAGCTTCAAAATATATAAAATTAACAGAACTAGAAAGAAAATAGACACATTTACAATAATGAGACTTGAAACTTCTTGGAAACTTGACATCTACTTACAATAAGAAAGAAAAAACTAATTCCAGTTAGATCATATATTTACATGTGAAAGAAAAAATCCTTTAGGAGAAATTCTTGTAGTAGACAAAATATCTAAAAATGCTAATCTAAAAAGAAAAAATGATTAATTGAATTCATTAGAATTAAGAACTTCTTTTCATCAAAAGGTGCCATTAAGAGAATGAAAAGGCAAGGCACAGAGTTAGAAAAGAAAACTGCAAAACATGTATCTGACTAAGAACTCCTATCAAGAATCTACATGGAACTCTTAACAAACCAAAAATGAAAGGGAAACAATTTGGTACAAAAATAATCAAATGACTTGAACAAGCACTCACATCAGAGGATATCTAAATGCCCAGTAAATATATTCAACAGTCCTTAGGAAATAGTAAATTAAAACCATTATATGATGAACTACTTTTTACTTGTCAAATGCCAAAATGGAAACACACATACAACCAATCAAGTAGTAGAATATAGAATTCTACTACTTGATTACAGAATAAGCAGAACTCACACATAATGGTAGTGGGAACGTAAACTGTTAAAATCATTTGGGAAATTCTTTGGCAGTACTTAACTAAAGCTGAATATACAAGGCACCCTATGACTGAGCAGTTTCACTGGACTTGCTATATACCCAAATAAAAAGGATACAGTATTGCCCAAAAATATGCATGAAATGCTCACAGAAGATCTATAATGGACCAAACCAGAGACAACCCAAATGTCTATCAACAGAGGAATGAATAAATCAATGGTAGTATTTTTCAAACAACGAAATACCATACAGCAGCAAAAGTGAAGAACTACTGCTAAATATAACAAGTTGTCTGAATTGTAAAATCAAAGTGAAACAAGTGAGGGGAGAAGGAGTAGACCCTGTAGAATGTTATTTATGTTAAGATCAAAACACACAATATTAATCTTGCTATTAGAAATTAGGATAATGTTTACCCTTGGAGAGGCAGTCACTGGGAGGACATAGGAGGAAGGGCTGCTGCAGAGCTGATCATCTTTTGTTTCTTGATCTGGTAGACAGTTTACAGGAGTCTGTTGATTTTATTATAATTCATAAAACTGTTACTTATGATTTGTGCTTTTTCTATATACAAATATATATTATACACTGAAAACAAGTTTAATTAAAAAACATGCAAATAGGAACAAAAAACTATACAGACTGATGTCACATAGTCCAGTTATATTCCAGGACCAAGCTTGACATTCCAGTGCCCAACATGACATTCATGATAAATTATTGTTTTTAAACTAATGAATGAAACAAGAAATCAAACACTGCAATTATTTCCTAGCTGCCCTTCATATGTATATTTATTTGCCTTACTTCAGAAAATATTCTCATATTGATGTTTTCTAATATTAAACCTGATAAACCTGACCTGCTCTTTCTTTCTTTAAATACTCAACATAAAATCAGCTGGGAAGCTTCCTCAAAATATGTATTTCTCACCCCTTCCCTCATTCTACCATTTAGAATCAAATCTATTTGCAGGAAATGGAATTGCTATAAGGAGTATAAACAGGACCACAAGATAAGAGTTCTCATATTTTGAAGGCTGTGAAATAATTGTCACACAGTCACTACTTACAGGCTTTATGAGATAATTATCATTAACACTGTTTATAGTTCAGATAATCTAGTCAAACATTCTTTATGACTCAGGTAAAGCAGGAAGTTAGAGATGTTGCATTTAGCAAAACCACTGACTTCCAATAAATGTAAGTTGTATCTTTTTCTTTTCCTTTCTAGTGATTGACTATTACAAGCTTTATGCATCTTGAGTGGTTTTCTTGCTCAATTACAAAAAGCCTTCAAGAGAAAAGTTTAGAAACTAACATATAAATGTCTTTGATGAGCCTGATGTGATTTCAAGACATTTTTTACCCGGTCATGGATCTCATCACAGTTTGAAGATGAACACAAATCAGAATGGAATCTGCAGATATAAAAAAACAGAGGTGACTTATACCTGGAGGGAGAAAAGAATAAATCTTTCCAGTGCCAGATAGTCATTTTTTTTCTTATCCCTATGTAATAACATATAAATATTAAAATAACGTTTTTTTCCTTTGACCAAGTATGAGAGGCAGATATAAAATCAGGTACTGGTTCTCAGCTGTAGTATTAAGTCTTCATAATATGTTCAATAAATAGTGCTAATAATTAAGTTTGATATGCATTAGGGAGAACATACCTATATGTCTGACCATTTTAATGATTTCCACACATAATTTTTAAGAGTTTATTTCTAAATAAAGATACAGATTTTCAGATTAGAATGATAATTCCATGTACAATGCCTTTAAAATTAGTTCATACTGTCAAGTAATTTAATCATACTCAAACTATGTGGAAGAAATTCCTCTCTGCTTACAGAAAAATAAAACCAGTTTTAGGAAATTAAACAAAATGTTTATAATAGATGAAAATATTATTTAGAATCCAATCATGTTCTTATTCCTTCAGAATACATAAAAATTAAATGACCCCTTTCAGCACAGATAGTACCACTTCTCTAGTCTGCTATAAGTGTTTCTTTTTAATATTGAAAAATAGATAAGAAAAATACGACTTTTATTAAAGTTTGAGTGTTGGAATTAAAGAAGAAATAAGGCAACCATTCTCTTTCTTATGCCCTTATTGAACTCAAAACTGGTGTTAGTATAATTAAACTTAATTATAAATAATTATAAATAATTTGTATAATTTAATTATAAATAATTTGTCTATACAAGTAATAATAAAAATTTCCATATTTGATTATAATTCATCTATATTGTTACAGGTATTCCTTTACAAACGAATGAATACTAAAATACTAATAGATTGCCTTTTTTCTCCCAATTTATTCTTTAAAAGTTACAATTTTATGTTTACACAAAGTATAAACTATTAAGCAGGATAAATGATTTATAGAATCTGTTTTAAAGAATGCAATCAATAATAGATGATCAACTATAACTAAATTTTAATCTACATTTGTAAAAGAAAGTATTACTTCATCTATACAAATATATTGGCTGACTTTGTTATGTGTTACATATGTAACATAGCTTGAAAATCTGAGATACAAGAGCATCTCTTCAATGTTCTATGAGAAGATCCACTAGTCTGTGCTGTGGTATCAGAAATGATTGCCTAACACTAACTCCATTTATAAAAATCAAATCTTAAGCTTGATTAAAGAGAGTATCATCTCCTTTTAATTAGATTTGCTAGCATTCTTAGTTTGATTTAGTAACTTTACAGCCTAATAAAATTTATAAGTCATATATTAGTGTTTATTCTTTGAGGAGAAACCTGCTTCTGAAATACAACACAATCAAAATTGAAATCATTTTATGATGTGTTAACTCTATTGGGGATATTTTTTAAATGGGCTTAAAGCAAAAAGTACCTTCAATATAAATAAATTCATTTGCTTAGAGTCACTGGTAAAGTTTTTGAAAGTCTGTTTATTTATATGCATGCTTAAGGAGTCAATACTTCACAACAATCTTAGAGGAAAACTTACTCAATTTTAATAAATGGTTACCAGATAGACTCCTGTAGCTGCATGTTCTGCCATATTACCAGTTTTGCCTAGGACATATGATCTACATTTATACCAGTTTTGTTTGATTCCAATGGATTGCATGAACGCCCTGTAAGAATATTGCTCAGTGACTTAAAAAGCCAGATTAGAGAATGTCTTATATTTAAAGATGTGGTACTGAGTGTGCTAAAAAAAGGTTTTGCTACTGGTAATATGTCTTAAAGACATTCCTTTATAGACTAAATCTAAATCTTTTCAGAAAATACACTCAAACTAGAGGTGTTCTACCTTAATGAAAGTAAAAAAGTTTATCTAACTTCACGAGAACCCCAATAAAACGAATGTATTTAGATGAATTCAAGAGTAAGCTACCATTATATTCTTTTATTTTTAAAGTATTTCAAATTCCCTCAACTCACAGGTAAAAAAGGTCATATTTAATATTAGAAACACTTATTTCTTTCTAGCAAAAAACTTTTACACATTTACTATCCAGCATCTAAATAAACATGTAAATGCTGCCATCTACTCTAAGCCATTTCTTGCACTGAAATATGAAAAAGGGGCAATTGACTTTAGCCATCTTCAATGAAGAATTTTTTAATATAGCCTCAATGAAGAATTAACAACCTGAATAGGGCAGGCTTCAAAAGTTCAGACAAAATTACATATGGGGTAAAATACCACAGGACTAAAATTGGTATTGTACTATAGTGGTAGACACTTGGAGAACTCTGCAAAATATGTAAAAAGATAGAAAAATAAAACAATATTTATAAAAACATATCCAAGGAGAGATAGGTAAAAAATTTCTAGAACACCTACATATATATGGCAAAGAAAAGAATCAATAAAACCACAAATGCTTAGTTCTAAAAGTAGGTAAAAAAGAGAGTAACACCAACTGTATGTCTGAACACCTGAGAAGACATTGGGAATCTAAGAAAGTGCCCTGACACTGAGATATAAGTTAGCAGACTTCACCAGAGAAACTTCAAGAGCTTCTCTTGAACTTTTAAAGCCTACATCTATTATATACATAGATATAGATAATAAGATATATATGTATCTATCCACCTCTCTAATCTTATCTATCTATCCATATATGAACTCAAACAATGACCCTTACCTGGCATGGTTCTAATGGATGAGAAGCAACATTAATCAAAATTTCCTATCTTGGGATTAGGGTCTTTAGCATACCTGCATATATCCATTTTGAATGCTTACAGGGCTAATGAGGAAACAGACAAAAATATCTGTTCAGAACAGGGATGTTTTAATATAGCTTCCAAACTGATGAAGTCTTAACTTGAATCATCAGTTTTGAGATGAACTTTGATAGACTCTCTACAGTTAATTTAAACTTTGTCAATTTTGTCTGATGGTCCAAATATACTGTAGGAATTTAGTATGCTACTTTAGCTTTTTGATGCCATCTGTAAAGATAGATTTTACTTCCACACTGCTGATGGTACCTCTCTTTCTACAAAATTTTTAAAATACCCAGGGTTGGGTGGTGGTGTTTTTTCTTTTTTTAATTTGTGAGAGCTCTTGTTTTCTATATTACTATTTATAAAAGATGCAGGGAACTTACAATTCAGACTCAACACCAACAAAAACTGATAAAGAGGAAATATTTCTTTAATATCCATATTATAGCAAGTGTCTAACTTTGTTTATCAAAGCATTTTTAGAGAGATAGATGGAATCTTTATATAATTAATATTCTCTTGGGGAGATAGGGAGAGGTTAACTGAAGAAACTAGGTGACATATATCAATAATATATAGCATTATCATCATTACTAAAGGGAAAGTACAAACTATGCTATTTTTATACATAACCCATATGTGTAATAACAAATCCCTATGAATCTACTAAAAACAAACCACTACATACTTCACACATTTTTCATTTTCATGAACCACAGGATTTAACTGGGGTTAAAATGGCCCTAATTCATAAACTCACTAATAGTGAATAAACTCGCTTCAAGAGAACTACACTGGGGAGAAGTATCTAACAAATACGTAAAATGCAGTTATGTTCTAAACAAAAATAATTTAAGTAAACCTCTTAAAATCAAATTATACTTTTACAAATAATCACCTCACATACACAATTACTGCCTTATCTTTTCTAATAATGATGATTTAAAATATTAGTACAGAAATCAAGACTAAGCATTACCTTTCCCTGAGAGAAGCTCTATTTAACACAGGACTTGGTGAATGCTTCGGCATTGTTGAAGGTGCTGAATGGACTAGTAAGGTCCTTGCTGAGTGCTGGGGCTTGCTACATGACCTTGAGCTCAAATACTCATCACACCTTTCCAAAGACTCATCAAAGTCTCTCCCATGTGGTGTCCTGATAACCTGTTTAGAAATTATATATGTATACTCATAATATATGTAATAATATTACACACACACACACACACACACACACACACACACACACTGCACACAAAATCTTTGTAAAAGTAGAAAAAAGAAATGAAGTACAATGCCACAGCTATATCTGAGATAAATATCAGAATGTAGACATCATTATTACTATAAGATTAAACATTAAATATATCTGGACTGTTCATTCCACATGTCTAAAATTTAAGAAGTTTCATCAGTCCTAAGGGATTTGGAGTAGGGATGTATATATAAAAACAAAGGACAAATATGCATAAATTAACAATAGCCTAGCTTAGCTATGAGGTCAAACAGAATAGATTTCTAGCTCTAATACTCATACATTAACTCATGCATTTTTTCTGGGGACAGACCAATGAATACATCAGGATAGACAAATTAATACATTCCTGCCTATTGTGGAACTTATATTCTAGTAAAATTTATATTGTAGTAAGGAGCAAGAGATTTAAAAATACACACACACACTCACACTCCAAGACAAATAGGTATGATATATGTAACACCAAAGATGGCAAATACCATAGGAAGAAAATAAACTAGGAAAAGCGGTAAGTGCTGATGGTGGCTTGTAGGGAGTGGTGGAAGGGTATGTAGAGAAGGGGCTGTGGTCTTTAATAGGATTGTCAATGGGGACTTACTCACAGAATATCTTAGTAAAGACCTAAAAAATAAAGATCTGAAGACCTTAGTAAAGACCACAAGACCTAAGTCATGAGGCATCTGTGGGAAGAGCATTCCAGAAAGAGAGAAAAATAAATGCAAAGATCCTGTAGGGTGTGGTGGGAGACATGTTTGATATATAAGAAATAGTAAGGAAACCAGAAGGGCTGGACTGAATAGTAGGAGATGAGGTAAAATAAGATAGGTTTTAAGAATTTTGGCTTCTATTCTGTACAGAGAAAAATATGCTCTGAGTTTTTTCTTTTCAAAAAAGATCTCCTGGTTAAGAACTGTCTATAGAGGGGCCAAGGGCACGGACAGGGAAATCAGCTAGGAAAACAATATAACAAAACATGAAAAAGGATGCTGGCTTGGATCAAAGTGACAGCAATGGAGGTGAAAAGTGGCCAGATTCAAAAGGAATCTGAAAGATGGAATGCATATGACTTGCTGACGGACAGGATGTCAAAAATAACACCAAAGTTTTTTTAGCCTGTTCAATTGGAAGAGTTGAGTTTGTGTGAATCATACCCTAGGAGAATAAGATATTAGGAATCTGGCTTTGGACATGTTAAGCTTCATATGTTAATTTATTTTTTATCCAGCATATTAGAATTTAGGGAGGAGTCCAAGATAAATATATAAATGGTATTTAAAGATATGGCACTAGGTAATATCCCCAAGGAATTGAGTATAAATATCAAGAAGAAAACATCTGGACTGAGCTCTAGGAATACTCCATTATATAAAGGCTAGGAAGATAAGAAGGAAACATTAGACTGAGGAATGGCCAAGGAACAAGGGGAAGAAAAAGGAGATGTGTTGTTCTGGAAGTTAATTAAAGAATGTATTTCAACAGGGGGAATAGCTAAGTGGGTCAAATATTGCTGACAGGTCAAGTTAGAACAGACTGAGAATAGATCTTTGAATTTTAGCAACAGGGAGGTCACCAGTAATATCAACGAGAGTAGCACTGATGAAGTTACAGGAGTGATAATCTGGAGTTGAATTCAGGAAAGAAACACAGAGAAGAATGACATTCATTGAATAAATATGTAACCTCTAATCACTGTTTTAGGTGCTAGGTCTACAATAGTGAACACAACAAAATCCCTGTCTTTATGGGCTTATGTTCTAGCAGTACTATTTCTAAATATTTGACCTTTATAAAGGTCAATTTGATCTTTAAGAAAACTACCTAATCTTTTTCAGACTCTTTCCCTCATATGCAAAACAGGGTTAATAATAGCAATCTTGTATATCTTCCATAATTTAATGTACCCACAGAATGTCTAGCTATATGAATTAGTTATACAATAAATATGTCATTTATTAGTAAAGCACAAATCCAACAGAGCTTTTTGCTTTAATGCTAGCACAATTTTCACTGCTTTCCAGAATTATAGAAACATATGGTGAATCAGCAGTCAGCTGAGGGAATCAAGCTTTTATCCCAGAACCAAATAGCATGTAATTCAAAGAGCAGTTACAGTCCCAAATAACAGACCAGGAAATATGTGATCTAGACTGAATGAAAGAAAAAACCGAAACTTGTTCCACTGTTAGCTGTTAAAAGAGATGAAGTAAAAACACAGTGAATATCAAAAACAAGATCATAGAGGTCATTGGTCAACAAATGTAAGTATAAATAATAAGAAACTAATAGGAAAGAAAAAATAGTGCTGTAATGCTGGTTCTATAATTGTATCCAAGTATGTCAATTGAGTCATACTGGCTGGCAGACCACTTCATTTTTGCCTGCTAAATTTTCTCTCCAAACTAGTTGGCAATGCTTTAAATAGAGACTTTTCTAGGTGACTATAACTGACTTTTTCCTCTATCAGAATATTTGTTGAGAATCTCTTGAACAACATGTTAGCTAATACTCAGATCTAGAGAGGTACAGGGATTTAAACTCAAAATCCAGAGGAGATGGGGCATAAACATAAAGGTAACTGACAGTGAGATATGTTAAGTGTTAAATGCATTCTAATGACAATAACTGCAGAAGGATATTCAAAGACTTCTAATGGACTGAGTGGTTGGAGGTGTCGGAGTCGGTGAGATTGAAGGAAGACCATAAGCAGAGAAAAGGGGGAGAAAGGACATTCAGAATGGGGAAGAAGGCACAAGGAAAGATGAACAATGACTACAATCACTTGGCTATCTCTATAGGAAAGTAATGAGAGAATATCATAGAGGTAGAAAGGGGCACATTGTAGAGAACCTTAAATGCTGTAACTCAATGCTATTCAAAATTTATTAAGCATCTCCTATGAATATAGTACTGAACAAAGGAGGAGACAGCAATCACAGATACATATAACAGACGACCTAAAGTATGATACAAGCCACAGTGAGAGACATGAAAAAAACAACCAACGATAAAACAATGAGGAAGGAAATGAGAACTAAATAGGTATGCGGTAAGTGTGCAATGAGAACACAACTGGGATGTATTCTTTCCATGGAATTAGAGTAAATATTTGTTGTAGTTTTATATCTAAATGGGGAACTGGACGGTATAACAAAGGGGTGAATCTTTGAGAAGAATCCACTTTCAACTTCAATAAAGTTTTACCTTAAGAAACATTTCCACAGCTCTTATGAGTCTTCCATAGGTTACTCACTCACTTCCAAAAACCAAATGGAACACTGTCTCTTTGGCTCATTACAGAAGAGTTCCATTTCTTGGATGATTCCTTAAGAACACTAGCTTAGAATTCAAAGAACTGGGTTCAAATTCCTGCTGGTTATATCATCTTGGGCAAGTCATTTCATCTCTCTAAGCTTTAGTTTCCTTAAGCTTTAGTTTCTATGAACTGGGGAAATAATCTTATAGGTTTGCCATACACAAAAAGAAATCAGATAAAATTAGCGAAAATAGAAAACAGAGGACTTGGCTTATGAAAAACTATTTATTTACTCTACCTACAGCTATTATATTTCAGTGTAAAGAGGGTTTTTATTTTCTCATTTATGGAAATAGTTCTATAAATACCTTTTCTAAGATCTCAGAAATATAACAGTTCCAATATTACAAACATTGAAATGTTTCATGATAAAAAAATCCAATATTTTTAAACCAATCTGACTCTGTTACAAGTAGAAAATTTCATACAATAAATTCACTGTAATTACATAAATGTAATTATATAAATGACATACTTTAAAAATCTGTGGTATATAATGGTTTGGTTATAGCATAGTTATGAAATAAAATTCCTGAAAAGTTGTTTATATAAGTCAACAAATTTAAATCATATTAATGGCCATAAAATTTTCATAATTACAAGGAACTTTAAGGTTAAATTTATGGAGGAGAGAATTAACTATTAAGTATAATGGGAACCAGGAAATTCACTTACCCAACAAATATTGTTTAAAGTCTATTTAGTGTGGTATTCAACACCTTGCTCTAAAATTTCTCCTTTGTCATAGATATAAAATTTAGTAAACAAATAAAAATAAGTCTAATAGAATTAGGTGAGAAGTAGTTGAGAACAGGACTGCAGGTAAAAATAGTGCAGTATAAGTATTATTTTCAGAATGGTAAGAAGAAAGTATGGTTCTGATTGAAAAGGGAGAGAAACAGGTATTAGTAACTGAGATCAGTTTCTCATTTTTGCCAAGAACATTCCTTAGTAAATTTTACTTCAAGTGAATGATCCATTCCTATCTTGTCCAATTTAAAAATCCTTATGCTCATTTATCTAGTTCACTTTAAGAAAAATGTATTTTCCTTACACTGGAGAAGAATTTATAAGAAATTCCAAAATAATGCAATAAAAATTATTCCTAAATATATCAGTCCTTGGGATGGGGGTAGGGGTCATTGCCTTCTTAGACCACTGCTCTATGCACTTAGACAAATAACTTGTTTAATCCTCACAACAACCTTATGAGGCAGATATTTTTATTACCTACACTTTATAGGAAAGTCAAACAACTTTTAAGTCGTGGAGGGTTGCAGGCTAGTGAGACATGTGAGACATTTACGGCAGAAATGAATGGAAAACTCCCACAGCACAAGCCTCACAGGATACCTGTAAAGTGTCACAGAAGATGGGTTCACAATCTGACTACTAACCACCCAAAACACAGAGGTAAGGAACAAACTCACAAACCATTCTCCAGAATGAAAGAAAACATCCCCCAACTATTATGTGAGCACAATGCTACCAAATCACTCGAAGAAAGTACAAGAAAAGTGATTACAGATCAGCCTCACTAGAGACCACATATGGAAGAATGCTAAATAAAATATTAGCAAATTAAATTCAGTA